GGGGTGGGCAAGGGGGGCAGGCGCGGGTTGGGGGCACGGGCGAGCGCACAGGCAGCGTGGTGGAGTGCGACATGCTCTCGTGGGACCATGCTGAACACGCATGCTCTGCATCGTCAGCGACGGCCGCGGGCTCGCACCTCAGCAGCCGCTGCTGCTCCGGCAGGCTGGCTAGGTACTCCTGCTGCCAAGCATCAGCCGCAAAGGAAGGCGAACGCGGGCACTGGCCTCCTGGCGCGGCAGCGCTGACGCTGCTGACGCTGCTGCTGCTTTCGCCGACACCGCTGCACGCAGGGTGGGCAGCGAGCGCCGACATGGCCTCGCCAGCCTCAGGCTTTACCGTGACACTCCCTTTCAAGAGCACTCCCTTTTGGCAGAGCACAATGGCCTGATTATGGGTGTGTGCACAAGGAGGGCCTGGCTACCGTTGGAAGATCACGTGTGCTGTGACGCATGCATATAAACGACGTGTGACGTGGCTTACAAAAGAATTGTTGCCCGACAGTCAACCCGACCCCGTGCTGTCGTGCCTTGTCGAGCGAGTGACGAAGAAAGTGATACACCGGCAGCTTATCGCGAATGCGCCGCATCGGGGGGAAAGTACACATCTGGCTTGATCCTTACACGCGTCAAACAGCTGCGACAAGCATGCTGATCTAGGCCCCTCTTCTTGACCAGGATGGACCCTCGGGACAAGCGGAGCCACAGGGAGATGGATGCAGATGTGAGTATAGCATCTCGACGCATTTATCACAGCTTCGGCGAATGCGCCTGGACGCAATCTGACGACGAGGGGCGCCCTGAGCCGAATATGACTTTCTCGGCACCTCTTGCCATGCTGCCTCCTTCCCACCCCAGGAAGAGCCCAGCTTGCACCTCAGGCTTCTCATACCCGTGGACAAGGCCGGCGCCGTGATCGGAAAGGTGGGCCTCCGCGGCCGACCCTCCGGCTTGGCGCCTCGGAAGTACAATTTGGCGCCGGCGGCTCGCGCTCCTTTGCGCCACCTACTATCCCAGCCCTTGGTGAATTGCACTGCTGCGTGCAGGGCGGGGCGCACATAAACGCCATCAAAGACAGCAGTGGCGCAAGGGTACACATAGACAAGCCGGTGCACGGCTGCCAGGAGCGCGTCGTCAACTTCGAGTCGCGCTGCACCGTGACGTGAGCGCCCGTTTTTGGGGCCGCCGTCACTGCCGGGACCTGTTGGTGCCGCCGAGGCTGCCGAATGCTGTTGGGCAAAGGTGGCACATGTGTAGAGCGCGAGCTGTCCAAAGCAGCTGCAGCGACGTGAGGCTGTGAAGCTGCAGCGCCAGCATCATTGATCACCATCACTGATCGCACCAGCCCTGCCCGCCCAGCCCCACCCCAGCCCCCCGTAAACATGCCTACGTGGCCATTGAACGCACGCGCCCGCTCCCCTGCAGCCCCGGCGCGTCGCGCTGCCCCGCCCAGGAGGCCCTACTCCTGGCCCTGGACCGCGCCACCAGCGAGGAGCTGCCCGGCGGCGGCGTGAAGCCGCCCGACCACGCCGCGGCCCGCCTGCTCGTCTTCCGGCGCGAGATCGGCGCGGTGCTCGGCCCGCGCGGCGCGGCTGCCAACGGGGTGCGGGCGGAGACGGGCGCCATCATTCGGATTGAGGACGACGCGGGGGCGGCGGGGGGCGCGCCGGCCGCGCTCCCTGATGACAAGCTCATCAAGGTGAGTCGCGCACGGGCGTGGGCCCGGCAGGCAGGGGCGCCCGTGGGCCGCGAGCGATGCGAGGGTTGGCTGGCTTCCAGGGTCGGGGCGCTGTCGGCTGTTCTGATCTGGCTGATTCTGCGCAGGCACCATCCTGCACGCCGTACTCAACGTTTTGACCCCAGCACACTCGCTGCAGTTTGCAGCATAGACACGGGCGCTCGGATTCGGAAGGTCGCAACGCGCGCCGGGGTCCACCGCCTCGCGTGCGTGCGCCCTGACCCTCACGGCATGCCGCCGCGTCCGTCGCTGCGTAGATCCACGGCCCCTACGCGGCCGTGCGCCGCGCCGTCGAGCTCATCAGCGAGCGCATCCGCGCGGTCCATGCCGAGGGCACCATATCACGCGCCAGAAAGCGCGGCCGCACGGGCGTGACACCGCCCCTGCTGCCTGGCGCCGCGCCGGCGCAGGCGCAGCCGATGCTGGCGCAGCAGCAGCAGCAGCAGCAGCAGCAGCAGCAGCAGGCGCGGCCCGCGCAGCGCGTGCGGCCGATGGTGCCGCAGCACAGGGTGGCACCAATGGGTGACACCCGACGCGGCTGCTGGGCAACCGGCGAGGGCGGTGCTGCCGACTATGGCCAGCCCATCGAAACCGACAGCTTTGGCGGTACCGGCAGCACGTTCAGCAGCCAAAGCCCCGCCTTCAGCTGGGCCGGCCAACCCCAGCACCGCGGCGGCAGCGGCGCCGCTGGTGGTGACCCCGGCATTCTGGCAGCGCTGCCGCCTTGCTTGCGGCATCTGCTGGCTGGCAACCCCTCCGCAGACGTGCGCGGCCTGGAGGGGCCGGTCACCACTGAATTCCGGCTGCTGGTGCCGGCTAAGAAGGGGGGCCTCATCCTCGGCCGGAAGGGCGCGGTGCGAGGGCGGTGCCGGGCAAGGGCTGAAGGGTCGCGGCCGCGCCGAAAGGGTTGAAGGACCAGGCTGACACGTGCTTGCTTGTGGAATTTGTAGGATGGTCCCCACTATAGGGGAGGGGTCTTGAAAGCATTGAAGCGGCCGGTAAGGCTGCTCCTTCTAGCTGCTGTTCAAATCCTTGCTTCCACCATGCGGATTCGCCTCCCAACCTGCATACGCACCCACGTCGCCGCCCGGCGGGGCGACTGCAGGTGATCCGCCTGATACGCGAGCGCTTTGGGGCCAAGCTCAACCTGCCCGAGGCGGCTGCTGGGGCGCAGGAGCGCGTGCTGCAGGTGCGCGACGTCCTCGGCGCCATCGCAGTGGAGGCTGGCCCGCTGAAGCGACTGGCGAGGCATCCGGCGCGTTGCTGCCAACCACTGGCTGCGGCGCCAGCTGCGAGGGCCGTTGGCAGGACGATGGCCACGGGCAACAGTGTTGGCCATTGGCAGCAGTACTGGCCTTTGGCAGCGACACCAGTCACTGGCAGCTGATGCTGCGCTGAATGACTCAACAGACATCTGAGCTCAACAGGACCAGAGACTGCCCCAGCGCAGTGCGTGCCGCAGTCACAGCCCACCCGCTTAAGCTTGCGCAGTGGCTGCCGTCCTTCCCGCCCTTGGATTGATTATCCCATCTTTTGACCGCCCCGGTTGCGTGCCAGGTAACGTCGACAGAGGACGTGCGGGACCCTTGCTCCAGCGCGATGGACGCAGTGGCGCACTGCGCAGACCTGCTGCTGCGGGACGACAGGGGCGCCGGCAGGTGGGGTGGGGCATGGGCGTTGACGGCATGCAGATTGCGCAAAGCCACTGGCAAGGAGAGGGTACCTGCGCGGCCATGTGCATAATGGCTTGGTGCGGCGAGGTCACCGCCTACGTGGTGCACCCTTATGAGGGGCGGGAATGCAGCAAGGATGCAAGGCAGCAACGAGCTGGGCGCGCCAGTAGCAGCATCGGCTGCGCGGCCATGATGATACAGGAGCTTGCGCTTCGGCCGGCAACCTGAGCCGCGGCGGCAGCCGTGGGTGTTCGTGCGTCCTTTGCCGCTCAGGGACCCGCTGGACGTCCCGCTGCATCCCGCAGGCAGGACCAGCGGCCAGGCTGCAGCCGCGTGCGCCTGCTGCTGACTGAGGGGCAGGTTGGGGCCGTGTTGGGCGTCAGGGGGGCCACCATCCAGTGAGTGCGCGCGCGGCCGGGGGCCAAGGTCCGCTTGGCTGCGTCCGTCACTGCAGGGGATCTTCGTGATTGGGCCGACTGGCAGGTGGTGCAGGGCTGAGCGGATCTGTCGAGCCGTTAGGGGCTGCCTTGGGTGGCAACACCCTGCCGAAGCACCGACTAGTAGAGCCGCTCGCCGGCATGCCTGGCCTTGCCGTGGGTGCTATCGGTGGTAGGCCTGCAACAACCCGATTAGACACCGCACATCCGATGTTGTCATTGTGGCACGCCCCCTGCGTGCGGCCGTCCCGTCAGGGGTCTGCGGGCCGCGACCCGCACGGAGGTCGACCTCGCACCGCAGCAAAACCCCGGGGACCCCGCAGGCGCGGCCGCCCCGCCGCCGGCAGGCACGCGCCTGGGGGACACGGCCCTCCAGATCACAGGGACGCGGGAGGTGAGGGCCCCGGATGAGGTAAAGTCGCGTCTGCTCTGTCGGTCGGTCGCTACACCGTCGGTCGAGCGCGTGGGGGGATGCAAAGTCACCGAAGGGGGATGGCGAGGGGAGGAGCGGTGGGAGCTATGCGTAAAAATTCTAGCAGGCGTCCTACCAGCCGCCTCAAAAATTTGATCGACAGCTGAGAGGCGGGCCTTGCTTTCAGCAGGGATGCAGCCGGGCAGGTGGCATCTCTTTCACGCCACCGGCCCTTGTCCGCACGAGCGGCCCCGCCGAGCCTCAACATGCGTGCCACAACAAACCCACCTTTGGAATCCACACTTCTGACCCCCGATGGGCAGCCCTCAAACAAGATCCCGCCTCACATACTCCACCGCACCCTCGAAGGACGTGCTGGATGCGCTGAGGGTCGTCCTGGTGGCGGTAAGGGGCCACACGTCAAGGGGCCAGCTCGAGTTCGGTGGCGCAGCGCCGCCAGCGGGTGGGTCGCTCGATCAGTGTTTTTGATTTGGGCTGTGCGTCATCAGGGGCCCCGCGGTGGACCTCCCTCGCACTGCATGCACCCTGTTGGGCCGTAGCAGCCGCCCCTGCTGGGTGCCAGATGCCTTTGAGGCGCGTTGTCAGACCCATTGATTGGCCTCCCCCACGTGATTTCGCAAAACTTGCAGCTCGAGAGCCCGTTCGGCGCGCAGCACCGCCGCGGCCAATGCTGCCAGCATCGGCACCCTTCGCTCACAGCAGCGCTGGCTGGGAAGATGCAAGCAGCCACCTGACCCTCACAAGCTGCGCGAACGGCGATTTTGACGCCCCTGCACCACCATACATGCAAGCCGGCGATGGGTGGCGCCCCAGCAGACCCATGGTGAGCATGACGGGCGCGGCCGGCCCGCCGTTTGTCGCTGCGCAGCAAGCTGCGCTTCCCCTGCAACTGCAGCCGCCTGCAATGCAGCAATTTGGCTCAACTTTTGCGGGCAGCCGGCCGCAAGAGCAGCTGGCTCTGCAGGGGCAGCAGTCACAGCCGCAGCAGCAGCAGCCGCAGCAGCTGCAACAGCAGCAGCCAATTGTGTACATCATTGCACAACAGCAGCAGCCTGCTGCGCAGCAGGCTCGGCAGCTTCGGTCACCAACCGACACCCACAGCGGGCTGGCTCTGGGGCAGCTGCACATGCCCCTTCAGCCCGCAGATGGGCTGAGCACGGCACCAAGGTCAGACCGCATTGCAGTGAGCATGCGTGCAGCCGCAGAGCAGGGGCCGGCGCTACATGTGCAAGACTATCAGTCCCCAATTCAGCAGTCAATTCAGCAGTCACAGCTTGTCACACAGCAGCAGCAGCAGCAGCAGCAGCAGCAGCAGCAGCAGCAGCAGCAGCAGCAGCAGCAGCAGCAGCAGCAGCAGCAGCAGCAGCAGCAGCAGCAGCAGCAGCAGCCGCCCCTGCCGCCGCTGCCGTCGCTGCCGGTGGTGGACACGTCACAGTACAGCAGCAGCAGCAACAGCAGCAGCTTTGGAGACCTGCTTGCAGCATCCCACCACCAGCACCAACTGGCCACAGCTGCCGCAGCGGCGCAGCCCTCAGTGGAGTGCGACAGGAATGGCCTGGGCAGCCCTTGGGCGGTGGCACCCCAGCCTGAGCCGCTGGTTGTCACACGGCTGCTGCTGGCGGCGGGACAGGCGGCGGCGTTGAACGCAGACCAGCTTAGCCATGTCGGAACGGTGCGTGGAAGCCAAAAGACGGCTACTGTATCATTGTGCGCGCTCTTGTGTGTGTATGTGCACGCATGTGCGTGTGCGCGCGCACGTGCGTGTGTGCACAGGTGTGTGTATGTGGGTGTTGTCAAAGCGAGAGCGCGCAGCTGTTTGGGCCTGTGCTCCTTGCATGCCTCGACTGTCTGTTTACCGCAATCTTCACGACAAGCAACAACGCCTCTGATGCGCGCATTGCCGCGCGCGTGGTGACTTGCTGCGCAGCTCGCGCAGGTGGCTCTGCGGGCGGCGGCGGTCAATGCGGCCGGGCAGCACAGCATCGACATCACAGGAGGCAGGCGCCAGGTGGACGCAGCCATCAAGATGATCTCGCTGCTGGTCAATGCGGCTGCTGGCTAACGATGCAGGGACACTCCTTGGTCGGCACAACCCCTGCAACAGCGCCGGCCGGCCGCCGCTTGGCTGGTCCGCTCGTCCGAAGCGGCCAGGTGCTCAGCTGCCTGCTGGTCTCACCCCTGTCGGTGGTCATGGGTAGTCCGCGCGGGGATGCGCGCATTCAGAGCCTGCCGCTCTCAGACGCCCTAAACACCTGCAGCGAGCGCTCCCACAAAAGTGCAATTTGTGCCCCATGTCGGTGCTCGCGGCTCCGCCCCTCCACCGGTCCCTGTGTGCAACACCAGATCCCCGCTGCCGCATCCACACCCTTCTGCATGCTGGCCGCTGCGATTATAGGCCTGGATGGTCCATTGCACATGTCCCGTTGCTCTTTCCGAGCCCATGCCGTAAACAACCCCCCGCCACCCGCCTGCAATCGCTGCTTGTACCTTGCGCTTGCTGGTGCGGCACGGCAAGCTCCTCCAACGGCCAGCAGCATGGCCGTCTTGCGCAGCTGCTTTGACAATGGGTGGTAACCTGTGGCTCCTGCTCGCGCGCCACTGCCTAAGTCAACCAGCAGCTTTTCGCATCCATCGTCCGCGCACCCCGCCGCCGTCTGCTGCCGTGCCGTCCCACCTGTCCAGGTCGTCGGCTTCCTTGCCACTGCGCCTCTCAAAAGTCTCCCGCCGCTGCTCGCCTCGGACCCGCCAAAAAATTTGCCCCTGTTGCCGACAACGCAGGGCCTGCACAGGTGACAGTCCTTGAGTAGCCTGCTCAGCCATAAAAGTAAAGCATGGAACGACCCGGGCAGCTTGTATGTGTGTCGGCGGTCTGCCGCTCCCCGACCCCACGCCCGTCAGCCGTGAGGCCGGCGGGCCCCTGGGCGGGGGTGGCGAGGGGTTGGCAGGGGCCGTCGACACAGCCGCGGGTGGCCCCAGGTCTGTCAAGTGTGCCTGTCCGCACGAGACCTCGGATGCGCGCGCAAGCTAGCCGCCCCCCTGCAATCGGGTTGTTCCAGTCGAAAAGCCCGCTCTGCTGCGAGCTTCGGCCAAACCCCCAGCCACGGCGTGCATGTTTGGGATGGTGCAGGCTTTTTTACACTCAGGGTGTTGTACAGGGCGGGCGCAATGCCGATGCCGCGGCCCGCGCTCCTTCCTGCCCGCATGTGGCATTCCAAAACACGTGTCAAGCCGTCGCTGGCAGGCACACTTGCCCACCACTTCCAGGTTTGCAGCACCGGGCAGCGCGCTGCCGGCGCCCCGCTGCGCGCCAAAATAGCCAAAGGGTGCGGAGAAATCTGCGCAAAGCGATCATTGCGTGCATATTGTTTGCAGCACGGCCGTGTGTTGTCGCCGCCGCCTCTGCCTTGCCACGCCACACGTGGCGGGCCTCAAGCAGACATTGGAGATAGGGGCCTCGTCACCACCCAGGACGGCACCATCTGTCCGCAAATTTCCCGGCCTTCCACTTTAATCGAGCCCGCTTCATCAAGCGGGAATCAGTGCACGTGATGCTGGCGAGCCTGGGCAGGTGGTTTCACCAGGCAGGGCAGGGGGGGGAGGGGATACGACTGACAATACAGACATGCCTCAATCACCCGCGGCGGGGCGGGCGGCCGGACGCCCGGGCTAGGGCGGCTGGCTTGGGGAACCCAACAGGACACATACACCCCCGCACGCGCGGCGGCGCGCGGGGCGACAGGGAGGGAGGAGGGGGCGCGTCAGCGCGCCCCCCGCAACTGCAGGGGTTGCATCGGGGGTATGAGTTCTTCCGGTATCCTTTGTCAGACGGCAGTGACGGCTGGGGGCTCTGGGGCGTAGCTGGGAGGGGGGCAGTAAGGGACAGCCGCGTGCGGGCGCGACAGGCTCGACGAAAGGATGGGGAGGGGGGGCCGGTGCGTTCCGTGTTTCGGGGACCATGCCGGCAGCCGGGGGCGCTGCCTGTGGCGGCAAGACGGCGGGTATGTGTGGTGCCGTTGCCGCCGCGTCTGCTTTTGGGTTGGTACAAATGCATGCAGGAAGTTTTGGGGGTGGGGTGGGGTGAGGTGCCACGTCCGAGAGCTCGCACGAACAGAAAATAGGGGGCGGGCGCAGGAGGAGCCGGCAAGGCGGCCAGCGACGAAAGCCTCTGCGGCCCGCCGCGGCGCCCCGTGGCTGGCTCCTGGCCCGTCTGGGCTGGGGGGACCAGCCCTGCTGCCGCTGTTTGCACGCCCGCCCCGGCGCCCGTCGAAGGCGCGCTGCGGGCTGGGGAGACCAGGGACCGGCGTGTTCGACTTGTGGCAGCACCCAACGTGCGCGTCCAATCCAATACATCTCAGGGGCGACGTGCCCCGTCCCATAACGGCGAATCGGAGGCCGCGAGCGACACCCTAGCAAGGTCGGGCTTGCCGCAGCGCGGGCGATGCGGAGCGATGCAACGCGGCCAAGCGCCTCGTCGGCAGCCGCGTGGGAGGGGAGGCGCCTGGCTGCTCACAAGGGGGTGGCGGGAATGCGGGAATGCGGTAGTGCGCTGTGCGTGGCCTTGAGGCGCCCGGCATTGGCGACGGCCGGGGCCACGGGCGGGGCAAAAACCTTTCTCGGTGTGGGGTTGATGGGGGCGGCGATGATATGAGTACACGCGCGCCAGATGTTCAGGGGCCCGGGCCCCAACAGGAGGGCCGCCCGGCACCCCAGGGCGCAGCGGGTCGTCTCGTCTCTTTCAGCACTCCCAACCGCCGCGGCCGCCGCGCCAACGCTGCCTCCGCCGCGGCGGCGGCAGCGGCAGCACCCGGCGGGGGCCCGCGCGGGGCCCGGCGCGTCCGTGGTGGGGCACGCGCGCCGGCGCGGCGGGGCGGCCTTGGCCGCTCAGCGAAAGTCCATGCTCTGGGACAGCCCCTTGGAAAGGCTGCGCACCAGCACGGGCAGCCTCGGCTGCGCCGCGCCCCCGGCCGCCCCCGCGGCGCCGCCGGGC